ATATATATACAACTGCGACCTATACTGAGCGAATTCTGAACATCTGTAGGTAACATGATTGTCCGGCCGCCTTCAAAGGAGTACCCCGATGGATCGCTGGGCATGTTGGATGCCGGTATTGTGGTTGAGTTGAGCGAACGCGACAACCGGAACTTCTTTACGTTGTTCGAGGCGATAGCCTACGGGAACGGAAAGGTGTGTTGTTATAGCATGTGGTTAGGAAGGTGTGATGTTATAGCATGTGGTTAGGCTAGATAGTGTAGTGCGTTAAATGCTTTGTGTCTGTGGATATTCTGGATAGTGTAGAGGCAAAACCGTCAATCGCTTTGTGGCTATTGGTTATCCTAGACAGTATAGAGGACGATGCTCGTTATTTAGTACTCACTGTGGCCTATGTGTTTCTGCCGTCGCCTCTGCCCTCTGTCTCACGGGTCCTATCTCTACACATGTGGTGTAGCATGCAGGTTATCTGATGCTGGACAACGCCGAAGAGGAGGACTGCGACGAACCCGAGGAGTTCGCTGCCAGGATAGCCGAGCTAGTGTCTATGGTACACAAAAGCACACTGTCTTTACAAGAGGTGAGCGTATAACAACAGTCCTTTCTTTCTCTACAATGCTCGATAATTTGTGCCGTTCTGCTTATGAAACGTGTTTGTATCTAAAAAACAACAATAGATACATATTCTGTCTGCCTTATAGTATCGTCGTGCTTGGAGTACTCCAGTGGCCTGTGGTTTTAACCTGGTTTAACAATGTGCCTATCACCTGTAGGTGGATGTGGGAGGGGTGCTGCTCAATGTTCTCCATCAAGTGCGCCATTACAAGGTACGTACTGCTGTATTCATGCACGGATGGGGTGTGTGTACACGTGTCGTGAATCAGATGGAAGTTCAGCTACAGGTAGTAGCAGATCAATTCACCATGAGATATGACAAATTCACGGATTATTGTTGTGTCCGTGCGCACGTTTTATTTCAGGTTGAAGTTCACAAGATTACTGTTTATAGTACATTAATGCATATTGGACCTCGAAGCTAAACAGGCAGGTACAGCACGTGTATGTGTACATGGTGTATGCGTGCGCGTGCCTATCTTAGCAGCCAGTTACATACATCGCGCATACAAAGAATCAATCTGCATATCTGGTATATAG